AAATTGTCCTTAAAAATCCCCTAAAAAGCCCCGCTAAAATTCCCTAGGCCAGACCCGCTTGTTGGAAAAGCCATGTCTTTAGGGCGCGGCGGAAGGAGGGGAGATCCGGGATCACCCGGATCTCTGGGGGTAGTTCGTTCCAGAGGGTGGGAGCTCCCACCGAGAAGGCCCTCCCCCTGGGGGTCGCCAGCCGGCACTGGCTGTTTGTTAACACCAGCTCTGAGAAGCTTTATGTTGGTAAGTGAGTCTCATCCTCAGTCCAAAAGAGCTGCCCAATCTTTCCTTTCCCAAGCACCAATATGGGTCTGCCACAAATGATTACTGAAAAAAAATCCATGGAGATGGTTGGACTCTCATTAGTTACACACTACAGGACTAACAGTAAAGCATAATGGGAACTAATCTCCAATAGACCAATAATTTTTCCACTTGTAAAACAACAGTCTGGGTGCTCTTGATAAGGGGCTCATCAAAAAAATGAGCTACCCTTTCTTCCCAAATCAGGTTTGTATGATAGGTATAATAAGCATAATAAATAGCTTTAGCTATTTTCAGGTAATCTTCAAGGGAGGAGTATATCATTAAAAAGCTGTATCCTTGGACAATGTACCTTATACAGTACATTGCAGAGCTCTTTAAGTGACTTGTCTGGACAACAAGTCCCTCAAGGCTCCTGAGTGATTTCTTTGGAAAGATTTCACCATCCACCATCAACCTACAAAATACCCTCCCCTTTTCCCATCATGGTTTCCGAATAGAGAAGGTTTACATTAGTTTCCTCACCTAAATGCGAATGTGTCCGAAAACAAAAATCAAAATTATCCTGCAAATCACCGTGTTGCTCAATCGAACATTTCAGGCCCTGTGGAAATACAGCCAGACATCAAAGCACAGACCAAGCAAGGAGTTTTGAAGAAGTACAACAATTAGTAGGACACAACTGAAAAGACAGGACCTCAGGCTGAATCTCCATTCTGTGATGCACAGCTAGAACCAATAGCAGGGATGCAATCAGTACAAAGGAGGCCAATCAGGAACAGCATTTCACTCCATTTGGAGCATCCCAGTGTAAGTGTGTGCCAATAAAATGTGGGTTTTTCCCGCTTCTTATTCAAAATCAAATGCCTGTTCCCATTTTCACTCTTAGTAACCCCTAAAGAAACCCCCAAACTATTCAGGAGACTAATTTGGACCCACTTCCTGGTATATCTTTCAAAATGCAAATGAGAGATTTCTGGGAGACCAGATGTCCTGTCTTTACCCTTAAACCCTTCATTCCTCTCTCTGGGCAGGATTTGATTAATAACTAACACAACTAAACAACAAGAATATGTCTTTCTAATACATAATTTGAATAGGTGCAAAATTAATTTCCCCTTCCTTTATCTATTACATAAATGGAAGTGTGAACGTGGGAATAGAATCATAATAAAATAAAAATGAAATAGCTTAGTTCAAACATCACACACACTTCCATGTTTTGTTCTAACCATGGTTGGTTGAAAAAACCAGAGGTCTAGTGCATATTATCATAAGTCATAATATTTGCAGATTAGTTGTGCATCCAGACTGTGTAGTTTGCAAACTTTGATTTAGGGTTTAGCATTACATTAACTCAGCTGCTGTTAACTCGAGCACAGTTCAAGCAGACCATGGCTTAATATAAAGTATGAACTAAGCCATGCTGTGGCTTGCATCAACCTGAAATGACGTTATTTAGCAACCTAGAATTTTGCGGGAAAGAGTTAAAAAGCGCTGCCGGGCCTCCCACTCTCACCTGAATTGTCTTGCGTATCTCCATTAGCCGCTCCTCAATCTTATGCTGTGCGGTAGGCATAGGAGGATCACGTGGAGGATCCACACTTGCCTGAAGAGAGAGGAAGAGAAAATACACAAAAATTGCTAACTCATTTGTATGGATCATCACTGAAAGAGCTTTCCCCCCCCCCCAAGCTGCTGTTGTTAAAAGAGACATCATGTATCTTGCTCAAATCCTCAGATCTTTCTCCTTACTTTTATAGCACTGCTATTTTATATCATTCTTTTATTCTTATTTTTTTTCTTTTTCCTATCACAGCACACAAGATTTTTTTTTCTCTCTGTCTCTGGATTTTCCTTGCAAATTCAGTGAATTGCCCAGTGGAAATGTTCACCCAAAGCAAATGTAAAATTAAAAGCTTGGGATGCATTTCATTTTGGTACAGATCTCAGAGAGGAGAATGTACTAAAATTATACTGGAAGTGTGGTGGAATAGAAAATACAGCATTAATAAATTTCTCCTGTCCTAAGTCCACATTCCCAGGAAAAACAAACTCTTTCCACAACTACAGAAACATTTGGCTATAAAGAATACTGATTAAAACACAGGAGATAAAACTGAACACCCAGCAAAGTAACACATCAATTCCAAGAAGACAGCCCTTGATTAATTCAAGAAGCTATTGTCTTTGTAATGCTAGCCTCATGACCTCACCATTCCACCCTCACTGAACACATGACAAGTCAAATACACTGCTGTAAACCACCTCCTAATTTTATTGAATTCATCATATGTATACTGCAATTTGCACACAGTCTGTATACAGAGGGGGACGCCTAACCCTTTCCAGGTTTAGCAACAGCTGCCTTCACCACAATAATAACCAATGCACACATCAGTAAAATTAAGGGTTGGTTACTGATATAAAACAAACTTTGGGGAAAATTGTCACCTTGTGACAATTTGCGACAACTGGCACCTTGTGACAATTTGTCATCAAGAGTCATCTTGTGGGAGAGATGAGCGGCATAGAAATTTAATAAATAAATAAAATAAATTGGGAGAGGAATTTTTTTCTTTCAATGGGATGGGACGGAATTTAGTACAGGTAATCCTTGACTTACGACCACAACTGAGATCAAGATTTCTGTTGTTAAATGAGACATTTGTTAAGTGAGTTTTGCCCCCTTTTACGACCTTTCTTGCCACAGTTGTTGTTACTGCAGTTGATAAGTTAGTAACCCGGTTGTTAAGTAAATCTGGCTTCCTCATTGACTGCTTGTCAGAAGGTCACAAAAGGTGATTGTATGTCCCCGGGACACTGCAATAGTCATAAATGAACCAGTTGCAAGCATCTGAATTTTGATCACACGATCATGGGGATGCTGCAAAGGTCGTAACTGTGAAAAACGGGCGTAAGTCCCTTTTTTCAGTGCCACAATGTTACCTGAATGGTCACTAAATGAGCTGTTGTAAGTCAAGGACTATCTATAATAAATCAGTTCATATTTCAGTAGAATTATGGGTTGGGTACTAGTTTAAAACAAACTCTCGGGAAAATTGTCACCTTGTGACAATTTGCCCTCAAGAGTCATCTTGTAGGGGAGATGAGCAGCATAGAAATGTAATAAATAAAATAAATTAGGAGACGAATATTTTCCTTCGCTGGGATAAAATGGGCATTTAGTAAATCAAGGGTGACCAAGTATTGCTAGTTGGAGAAGACTGTTTTGTGACTTCACAAGGCAGGCAGAAGAAGACCAAGCGGGTTTTTTTTTTGTTTTTTTTTTTACCTGAGAGGCAGCAAAAGCTTCAGACAGAATTGCTCTCTCCTGTCTCAGTAGAGCATCAATAGCAATGGCTAGTTCCTGGGGATGGTCTTGATACTTGCTCTGGAAGGCAGGGCATAACAAGATAGAAAAGCGTAAGGCTGTACCCAAATAAAAACTCTTTATATTCTCTGCTGCCAAGAACACCAGACCTTTTTGGAATCACCACCTGCAGGTCACCTGGGTGGCTCTAGTGAAAAACGAGATATAGTCTTTAATTCTTTCTTTCTAGGTAGATCTCCACTGTTACTAACTAGGTTCTTTTTTCTACCTGAGATATGAAATCTCACCAGGATAGCTATCATGGCCATCATATGAATGCAGGAAAGGTCCACAGAGTCCCAATACACGCACACATATTTTGTCTCTCTTGGCCAGCAAGAATAAGGTTCTAAATTACCATAGGTCAATGCTTCTCAACCTTGGCCACTTTAAGATGTGTGGACTTCAGCATGACTGGCTGGAGAATTCTGGGAGTTGAAGTCCACATATCTTAAAAGTGGCCAAGGTTGAGAAACATTGACAGAGGTGGTTGCACTTAAAAAATGTCAACGTCTTTTATCCTTCAGTTCTTCCTCCTGTCTTGGTGTCTTGAAGAGAGGCTCCCATTTCATTCTGGCCCTTTCCCACTGTGCAGGCACACACACACATACATGTCCTACGCATACCTGTAGATGCAATTTTGAACGGCGCAAGTTGTGCTTGAGTAACATGTTAGCACTTTTCTCTTCCCCCAATGCCAGACGTCCGATCTGATCATCCAGTAAAGACAGCATGGTATGGAAAAGATAGCTGGCTTGTGAGGGGTCCAGTTCTACGGCTTGGCTCCTAAAAGAGCACAATGAAAAAAATGCAAAGCAAGACTCAGATGGCCTTGGCTGAGATAAAGAGAAAGTCACTGCCAAAAAAGGCATTCCCATGTAGTGTTGGCAGTGGGCAGCTAACGAGACTGTTGATAGTCAGAAAATGGAACCATAGCAAACCAGGTCTTATGGCTCTTGGGTCACAGTTTAGGTAATATAAGTCTCTGAGGAAAAAAATTGGCATCATGGTTAAGACACTGAACTAGAAACTGGGAGACTATGAGATCTAGTCTTGCCTTAACCCCCAAAGCCAATTGGGTGACCTTGGGCCAATCCTTCTTTCTCAACGTTGGGAAAGAAGCAAGGGAAAACCATTTCTGAAATCTTGCCAAGAAAACTGTAAGAACTAGTCAAGTCAATTACCAGGAGTCAAGGTTTGAATCATCAAACCCATAATTAGGGAATAATTTTATGAATTTTCTGAACTTATAGCTAAGATAAGAAAGTCTGCAAAATGTACCACTAGCCTGCTTATTTACATGAAGTATAATATTCTTATAATTCTTATATTTGCTCTTCCTCTAACAATGGTGAAGAGAATATAACCTACCAGATTTTTAGATTAATAAATGTTCTTAGATCTTTAAATCCCCATTTTTAAGGATCTATCTATCTGACAGAACTTTTGGATGGGCTTCTCAAACTACTACTGCACTGTGATTCTTTGAGGTGACTGAATAAATATGTAGTTGTTACTACATCTGGGTAGTGCACTGCGTTTAAACCAGGAAATTGCTTCCTTTCCTCTGTAAGTGCATGCATTTTTAATGTTAATACAATTAGTAGACTTCAAACTTTTGTACAGATAGTCCAACTTACAATCACAATTGAGCTCAAAATTTCTGTTGCTAAGTGAGACATTAAGTGAGTTTTGCCCCATTTTACTACCTTTCTTGCCATAGTTGTTAAGTGAATCAGTGCAGCTGTTAAGCTAGTTGTTAAGTGAATTTGGCTTCCCCATTCACTTTGCTTGTCAGGTTACAGAAGGTGATCAAAAGACCCTATGACACTGCAACCTCCATAAATATGAGTCAGTTGTCAACCATCCAAATGTAAATCATGGGGATGCTACAACAATTGTTAAGTGTGAAAAATAGTTATTAGTCATTTTTTTCAATGTGGTTGTAACTTTGAACGGTCAGTAAATGAACTATTGTAAGGCAAGGAATATTTAACATTCTATCAGGGTCTATCATTTCAGAGTTAGCTGATACCACATGATGTATGTCAGAAAGACCTTCACTCATAGTTGGGGAAAAAACACCATTGTACAGAAAGCGATGTTGATAATAAAAACCAGCAGATCAAAGACAAATTACTTTCATGGAAATGACTATGACAGAAATAGCATTACCAGTTCTGCTCCTCAATCCAGTAGGCTAAATACTGACGCACTTCCATCGGTAAGCAGTCATCTGAGTAGAGACAATCTATCTGGTTCATGTGACTCTTGTCCAGCATTTGAATTCGCTGCCATTGGGACATGTTGGAAGATGCTGCTGAACTCCACACACCTAAGCAAGCAAAGACATCAGGAACCCTTTGCTAGAACACCAATCAACTGAAAAAAAGTAATCCTTTCGTATCACAAATGTTCTCTTTCAAAAGAATGTCTACATTAAGTACAAAATAAAAAATACATTTTGCACAGGATTGTCATATATGATGGCTTGTGCGTGGCATAAGTATGAAAAAGATGCAGAAATACAAAGGAGTTGCTAAACTAAAGCCCCTGATAACCATGGAAAAAGAGGAGAAAATAAGAGAAATGAGACCATGATTTTTCCTTCTGTGTGAAGGGAGGCAATAAAATACTGTAAATGCTATTGTGGTTAATTTCTGTAATTAGGGTGGGTTAGAGTCCCATTAATAGGAAAAATGTAGACATGCTGAGGTAGCCAAAGTAAGGTCATCCCATAGTGTTATCAGATGTGACATTCCAGCTGCAAAGTCATAGTATGATTTAGTTTGCTTTATCATTCCTATGTAACCTTTCTAAAAGAATATAAGAGCAATAGCATTTAGACTTATATACCGCTTCACAGTGCTTTACAGCCCTCTCTAAGCGGTTTAGAGTCAGCCTATTGCCTCCAACAATCTGGCTCCTCCTTTTACCGACCTCGGAAGGATGGAAAGCTGAGTCAACCTTGAGCCGGTGAGAATCGAACTGCTGGCAGAATGAGCCTGTAATACTGCATTCTAACCACTGCACCACCACGGCTATAACCCATAACCTTGCTTAGTTCCAGGCTCTCTTGTGTTCTTTTGGGCCAGTGCGCAGTTCATACTGTAGCTGTGCATGCCAGTGAAAATTACTTTGCTCCTTAAAGTTTTGGTTCCTTATTCAAGTGGGCATTTCTCTTACAAGAATTTCTTACCAGGTACTTAAAAAGTGTGTTTGCATGTGTTTCTCTCGCGCGCTGTGTGTGTGTGTGTGTGTGTGTGTGTGTGTGCGCGCATGTAATCAGTAGCCAGGTTTCAGTAAGGAGTTCCTTGCTGCAACTGATAAAACCCAATCTGTACATACAGAACTTAAACAAGTTCCTGTATAATGGGCCCATTTAGAACTCTTCACAAGTATCAAAAGGAAGGCATCCCATGCTAAGGGGCATGCCTAACTATCAAAGGGCATATGATTTAAAACACAATATTCCCTTGACATCAGTAGCTTTTTCCTTTTTCAGGAAGCTCTTTGTTGTCTTTTCTGTAATTGAGAATAAGAGAGCAAAAGAGAGCAAAGAAAAAAAAAGATTAAAGAGAGCAATGCAAATCAAATGAAAGCCTCATGAATGTAGGAAATACAAGGTTTGTTCTGTTTCCATATTCCGTCAGCATTAAGGCTAAAATAACTATGAGTTTCATAGCTGAAGGAAAGCAAAGGGGATGTGAGACAAAGGAAAAAAAATGTCAGAATGAGTCAAATGTTGTAAACAAACAAAGCAGGGAAATATCTGCACAGTTTTAGAAATCAGAAGGTCTTGACAGCATAACTCAGCTCAGTCCAAAAAGTAGTGAAAAGCAGAAAGCCTTTGCACAAATACAGGGGAGATCCTTGGTGCAGTTGAACTTAGATTTTAGACTTAGATTTTACTAAGGAATTCCCATTTTCCTTGATTATTTAAGGGACTAATTCTATAAGAATATTGCATAGGGGCTATTGGAAATTACAAACCTCCTTTGTAAATAGAAAGAAAATCTAACTAAAAATACTACTTCTGGAATGCAATAGGCTTTCCAAAGTTTCTAAATGGCCAAATAGCAAAAGAAATATTGGTTGGAACATGATGAAATCATTGAATCTACACAGGATCCTTCTTCTGATAATATGCCTCTAGACAGAGCTAATAACTGTGTCTGGTTTAGAGCTACAATACATTATCATGAACTTTGGAAGGGGTCCTATTTAGATAAATAATCAATTAACAGAACAAATCTATATGTATTTAGCTAGATATAATTCCTCTTGAGTTCAAAAAGGTTTTAACCAGGACTTTCCTGTTTTAGAATTTTCTCATTTCTGCCAATCAGATAATTGTCTTATAACTGCTTTGCTGTACAATATTCTGATGAAGTAGAGTCTTAAATTTGGGGGGGGGGGTTGAGTGATATTTGATACTTATTTAATTTGATTTTAATATAATCACCTACTCCAGAAAACAAATTTTATTTTTAGATTTTTATCCTGCTTTCATAACACAAGGCGGCAAAATACATAATACTCTATAAAACAAAATATTTTAGTTGATGAAGGTAGCAATTGTGTTTTTAATGGATTTTGAAATGTCGTGTATGGATTGGGCATCCTATTTTCCCTTATGAACAAGTCTTTAAATCTTGGCCTTAGTTGTATTATTATCAGGGCCAGAGACTTTTTTATGGTATAATATTTACAGTATAAAAAGATCTTACGTTGGAATTTTTATGTGTCAGATAAATTTTCTGCTTTCTGTGCTTCTAACATTTTTGTTGGTTGCTTACAAAAAAAGAAAAAGTAAAGGAACAAAGAAAGTGCATAAATGTATCAAGTTTCATACCGAACATTAAAATATATATATTTACTGTAAACCATTTGAAGAGGATTGTATGGGAATCAGTATTGAAATATATAGAATACCACACAGCCCACATGGTGCCTTGATGATGGTGTTGAACTAAAAGCACAGAGATCCAGGTTCTAATCTTTCCTCAGCTCCAAAAGTTCCCTGGGTGTCGGGCTCAAGCTCAGGGACAAGACAGTGCAATCCAATTGAATTCAGTCCTTTATTTGCTTATACCTAATGGACCGAATCTTGCCAGACTAAAGCTATAACCTTCTAACCTACTAGATATATCCTGAAAATTCTGAACCTCTTCTCCCCTCCCTCCTCCAGCTCAGGATTGCACATCTCTTGATCTGCATCTCAAAAATCCTCCCCCTCTGTTGCTGCAGATTCCATCATAGTGGGTGACTTTGGGCCAGTCACTTTCTCTCAACCCAACCAACTTTACAGAGTTGTTGTTTGGGGGCAAATTAGGAGGTGGGGTTACTTTAACTTCTATAGTAAATGAAGGATATAAATCAAACACAAAAACAAACAAATAAGAACAGCTAGTGTGGTGCAATGGTTGAGGCCAGAAACCAGATCATGAGTTCTATTCCCGCTTTAGGCACAAAATTGGTGAGTCCTCTTAGGCCAGGGGTAGCCAACCTTGGCTCTTTTATGACTCATGGACTTCAACTCCCAGAATTCCTGAGTCCACGAGTCACAAAATAGACAAAGTTGCCTACCCCTCTCTTAGGCCATCCCTCTCTTTCAGTTCTAGGAAGAAGCCAAAGGCAGACCATTTCCTAAATCTTTCCAAGAATAACTAAGTGGAGCCCACACAGTTGTCAGGAGGAATCTGACTGGACAGTCTGAATCACAAATTGTCCTATTTCCCCCTGGGCTCTAATATGAACATTGTTAGCAGAACTGCTAAGTTTACAGACAAGACAGTTCAGCTAAGAATCTGAAGAGATTGGGGTACTGTATAAAAGCAATGCATTTATCTAAACATTCTTTTTTTTATTTAGCACATATGTATTTTTGTTATTGTATTTCCTTTTATCTATTTTATCTTGCAAGTAGACCTCATATTTTAACCTTTATTTTACTGCTTTTGAAATCGCTCTGAGACTAATCAATAACAAACTAAAGCTGACTCAAAGGTAAACACACACAAAAATTAAATAAATTAGTAGATGTCAGACAGTCTGACCGAGAACAGGCAGAGAATGGTGTTATGTGCTCCTGGCTACTTTCCTTCGTGACCAGAGGCAAGCTCGCCTGACCAATAACCAGCCAAGACACAGTGAAGGCCTTTGTTTCGTTTATTGCAATAAGCGGGGAGAGAAGCTATCAAAGCTTGGTTCTCTCCAGTTTTAACCCAAAATATTTCTTTCTTTATACATCCCTTGTCCCTGCCGCCACATCCCTCCTCTTTCCCCATTGGCTGAGGTACTATGAGGTTACACTCTTTCCAACCGCCTCCTACATATTTCCTGCTACATACTAAATCATACATCACATGTACTATTTCATTATTATTTCACTAACTTCTATGCCGCCCTTCTCCCCACGGGACTCAGGGCGGCTCACAGCATATTAAAAAACAACACAAAAAACATTTCCCCTATAAAACCAATTAAAAACCAAATATATTTATGGCTGTGTCATTATTAAAATCTTTAAAAAATTATTCCCTATTTAAAATTCACCCTAGGTCAGTCCCGCTTGTTNATGTCTTGAGGGCGCGGCGGAAGGTTAGGAGATCCGGGATCGTCCGGATCTCGGGGGGTAGTTCGTTCCAGAGGGTGGGGGCACCCACAGAGAAGGCCCTCCCCCTGGGGGTCGCCAGCCGACACTGCCTGGCCGACGGCACCCTGAGGAGGCCCGCTCTGTGGGAGCGTACCGGTCTGTGGGAGGGAATCTGTGGCAGGAGGCGGTCTCGTAGATAAAATTAGGAGATAAAATTAGGAGATAATTTATGCAAGGTGTGTCAGTTAATATTAATCAATTAATTGCGCATGCTCAGTTGCCTGAGTTCTGGCCCCCTTTTTTATGACTTCTTAGAAAAATAGGTTCTTTCCTGTTTTGCTAGTTATCTTATATTACAGATGTTTTCTTCTTCCTTTTCCCACTTTTAAGACCCAGCTATTTTTGCCTACATATTTCCTTTACATCCTTTCTTTATGTTAACCTTTCCTCTTTCCCACCATAGCTTCTCTACTCAGTATATTTCCACTGCAGCAAATTCAATTTTAAATTTCTCTTTCAATATTAAATTTTGAAGATCTTTCTTTTACTTCTATCAATGGGAAGACCAGTAAATGGAACTGCAGCTCAATGTTTTCTTTTTGAAAATTAAATCCGAAAGCCAGGAAAAAGTGTTTAACGTTGGATTAACTGGCTCACAACAATCTGATGCAGTTTGCTGGCTCTGCCCAATTTCTTGAAAACGAAACTTAATTTCGCCACACCTCCAGCTTCTCGCTGAAACAATTCTTTGATCGACCTATACCCAGCAGGAATATCAATCAAACGAATCCTAATCTTTTTGTTAGTTTCACCATCAAACTCGTGTCTGACCCCACCAGCCAGTCCTTTAGGATCAAGCAATCTTGTAATCCTGCCTTACCCTCC